CTTCTCACTTGTAAGGGCCTTTTTAATTTCTTGTACCTAAATTTGTATTTTTAATTTTAGATTCTTTTCTTTTAAAAAGGTCCCCCAGATTTTATGAGTTTCAGGTTCGAGAAAAATTATCTGGCCCTGCTTTTCATATTGTCATAATTTGTTTTTATGCCTTTCTCACAATATTTTAGGTTCATGAGAACAGACCCAGTATTTTATTTGTGTTGCGCTACTGTCTAGCATTTAGTTCAGTAAATGCCTGGCGAATGAATGAATCATATACATTTAGTGGTTGTTTTGAAATTGACTCTGGTGAGATTTCCTTTGCATTCATGCACCTTTATTAATGTCGACTTTGTTGCAATTTTTTTCAAAAAGTAATCTTTGTTTAAATTATCTTAAGTTACTTCATTTTTTAAAAAAGTTAAAAGCAACTATTTGCAGAGTTCTAAATTAAATTCCCATTACTGTCAATAGGCATATTTTGCAAAAATGCAGTCTATCTTTACATGTTAGTCTTCTTTCATTTAATTTTTTCCTGTTTTTAAAATTTTCTTGGACTATTTCCCAAATGGGAATTACTGAGAGAAAGGGTATATTCAGCCAGCTTTGCAGATTGTAAGAGTGCTTCTAGAAGTTAAGCCTCGCCAAAGAAAAACGTAATGACACATGATTGCGCTTCTTTTAAGCTGTCGTTTAATATAAGATCTATTTAGCCTTTATTTCTCATGGTGCTTCTTTATAAATCTCTACTCTTTTTTCAGGAGTTAACACATGTTGACAGGTTGACATGATACCTGAGAGCTGATATACCCTATATAATATATGCTGTAAGAACTGAACAATACACAACAATTTAATAAAATTAAATCATGAAGCTATGTCGTCATTTCTAAATTATACATTGAGGTTCATATATTGTTTTTTAAGAAAGCATAAATATTCCTCTTCCTTTCTCCGTCCCTTGTTCTGGTCAGTTCCAAAGCTTTTTAAAAATGCAAAATAAATTCATTTGCTACTTCCTGACCACAGAGATGAATAATTTAAGGACATCAAATTCTTCATAAATCTCATACATGTTTTAACTATCCAAGAAATGGAATTTTATTTGGTCAATTCTTTAGCTGGTCATAAATGATGTAATAAAATAAACCCCTTATAATTCACATTAAATAACATAAAGAATAAAGACATTTAAACAATATATTAGTAGGAAAAAAATTTTTTTAGATTTTGCCATGAATTTCCTGACAATTCAGCTGCAATTGGCAAGTGAAATGTATTCCTGAATCTGGAATAGTTCCAGAAAGCAGCCTTGCCAGGCAACTGCTGCTCCATCATCTTTCTTTAAAGTTCCTTCAACAGTTATCATCGAGATTTTTGTCTTTTTCCCCTTTCTCTAGCACATCAAACCAAGGAAAAACAATTATTAAGTTCTGATCTATGCGCGCCTTCGTCTCTTTATATTTATTCATTCCCCAGCCTTAAAATTTCCATAGAAATCTTGTGGTTATGTTTTATTTTAAAGGTACTGTAAGATCAGTACTCTTTTTTGTAGTCATTTATGCTTAGTTTTGGAAGATTGACAACTACCCCTATAGGTTCATCCAAATGAAAACTGATCACAAATTTGTAGGCTCTTCCACTACTCTCACTGAAAAATTACTATAATTAATAACTGTTTTGTGAAGTGAAACATCCAGACCCAAAACAAAAGTGACTAAATTATAGAATTTCCATAGGCATGGGTTTTACAACTAGCTTATTTTATTTAGGAAGATCTTAATTTTTTTTTAAATTCCAAAATATGTTTTTGCCTTAAGTCCTTCAATTCTAAAATAATGATTTGTCTGATAACATGTAGCTAGTGTATTCTAAGCCTTTATACTGTCTCACATTCTTGAGATAAAGTATCCTTTTTGAAAGGACTTTGCTGAATTTTGCTGTTTCCTACTTGCTGAGCAGTGGCCCCTCCTGGGAAAACAGAGTTATTTCAGCCAACATCCAGACTCCATCTTACATTCGACCCTGTGGAATATTAATAGTGCTACTGAGAAATATTCATAATCTTTTCTCTGGTTTCACCGTTTTTATGGTCCCGTGAAAATTATACATGGTGTCTGTAGAAAGCTTATCAGAAGATAGTCGGACAGCAAACTTTTAAAAAATAAATAATAATGGCAATACTGCTAAGATATCTTTTAACAATTAAATCTACTCAACAGAGTTTGGTTCTTACGTCAATGCAAATTAAACTAGAATACAATTATTGTTTTAGGACAGTTTTAAGATGAACGTTTTTGCGCCCCTTCCTTCCCACCTACATAGCAAGGAGACACCCAAGATTTCACCTTTATTTAAATTGTGTCAATTAGAAAATACAGTGAGAAGGCTTTATGTAGGTAGTGGTTCAGATAGCATTAACCCCAGAGACCGGAAAATCAGGAGCAAGTCACTTTGAAAGTGGAGTAAAAGATTTTATATATGGATTGTTCATATTCACCACTTCCTGACCACGACACAAGAGTGTATCACTGTAAATGAACGGTCTAAGTTAGCCACAGCTGTGGTCTAACTATGAGAATGTTTTCTTTACATAGAGACGATTCTGGATCATTCCGTGGTGCGGATTACTCTGGTCGTTAACTTATGCCCTTTGCAGCAGCGAGCCAAAGCTCTCCTGATTTCACTGCTCTTCAGAACTCTCCACCAGAGGGAGGACAAGGGAAGGAGTAGGTTTCACGCGCAGCTCCGAGCAAAGTTTGAATCTGAGAAAGTCAGCACTAATGAATTAAAGATCTCCAGCACTGTCTCTTCCTTCTACCTCTCCCTCCTGGCTTTCCAACTCAGCACTGAGTGACTTCCAGCTATTGCACTGATTTTAATAACGGTCGAGCGTGCTTTGAACTGTTTTATCAGTTCCTTTGAAAAGTGACCTGTAGTAAGAGAATTTAGGAAGGACATTCTCTTGGAAGAGGCCAGGTTATTTTTTTTAGGAAAAGCTGGAGAGGAGAATTCTAGCAGGCACACACTCAAGGCGCAGATCGACAGAGAATGCAATCTGACCATCTTCAAGGTTCACTGAGCCTTCCTGGGTATCTAGAACTCTTACCTTAACCTCCCTGCCCCCCAGAGTTTACCTTTGCTTACGTGCGAGAGGCTTTTTCAACGAAGTGGGAAAGGAGTGAATCCCGACCGCTTCCTCTGCCTCCCAAGGGCTCCAAAGCGGCAGAGCCTTAACTGGGGGCAGGTGTCAGAGTTGCAAACTCCCCCCCCCGCCCCGTCTTTTTCTGCATTGAAAGAACCGATCGGCCTGCCCAGGCGATGCCGGGCAGCGGAGGGGAGTGAGAAGCGAGAGCCCCTGGGTCCCGGGCTGGGTGTCGGAGTCTCCCCGGGCCTCTCGGCGGGGTCCCCCGCCGCGGTGGCCGCGCGTCTCCGCACAGCGCCCAGCGACCCCTGTCGGGGGCTCCGGGCAGCCTCCGGGCGCCGCCCCCCGCCCGGCCGGGCGGAGGAAAAGGGGCTGCGCCCGGGAGCGCCGGGCCAGGCTCCTCCCGGTGGCGTGTCCGCGCCTCGGGGTGGGGGTGTGGTGGGGAAGAGGGAGGGGTCGGGGCAGGGGAGGGGGAGAAGGAGGCGCCTGCTCCAACCTGCGGGCGGGAGGTGGGCGGCTGTGGGGCAATTGAAAAAGCGCCGGCGAGGAGTTACCCCAAACTTGTCGCAACTCCGCGCTCGCGCAGAGGCAGGAGCGCAGCGGCGGCGGCGGCCCGGGCGATGGACGCGCGGGCGGGACGGTGAACGCCTCTCCCTCCTCGGGCTGCGAGCGCGCCGGACGGACGGAGGCCACGACAGGCGCCGCCAGCGGCCGGACCCAGCGCGGCGGGAAGCGACGACTCCCCCGGGCGACGGGAGCAGCCCCTAGAGCGAGGGCGACCGCCCGTTCCAGGTGGCCGGGACCGCACGCCGCGTCCGCAGCTTTCCTCGCAGGCGACGGGAGACGCCCCCGCGCCGCGCGAGCGCCGCAGCCCGGCCGCTCGCTCTCCCCCTCGAGGGACAAACTTTTCCCAAACCCGAGCCAAGCCCTTGGACCAAACTTGTCGCGCGTCGCCTTCGCCCGCAACCGTCCACGCAGAGCGCTCCGGTCGCCGGCGAGATGTCCGAGCGCAAAGAAAGCAGAGGCAAGGGGAAGGGCAAGAAGAAGGACCGAGGCTCCGGCAAGAAGCCCGAGTCCGCGGCTGGCGACCCGAGCCCAGGTGGGTGCTCAGCGCGACCAGGCCCCGCGGTCCTCCTCCTCCTGCTCGGGTGCCGTCGCCTTTCCCTCCCAGTCCTTCCGCGCCCTGCGCTCCCGGCGCCTGGCCCCGCTCCCGGGCGTCCGCGGAGTCGGGCGGTGCTTGGGCGCCGCTCACCTGGGCGCCGAGCCCTGCCAGGTGCCCACGCTCAGCGCGCGGGGCGCGGGGCGCAGTCCGGGCCGCACTCCCCCGGCGCTGCCCTCCCCGGCACGGCCCCTCACCGGCGCCTTCGCAGCTGAGCCCGGCCCGGGAGCGCGACCCGGCGTGCGGAGCCGAGGCTGCGTGCGCGCCTGCCCCGCGCCAGAAGGGCTTTGCACGGGCCCCGTCTGCCCTCTAGCGAGGAAAGCGGGAACCGGCCGCCTGCGGGGCCAGCCAGGTCCCCTCCGTGCGTCTCGCTGCGCAGAGCGGGTGGTCGAGTCAGAGGCCGAGTGGGCAGTTCAGCGTCGGTGTTTGGGTAGAGAGGCAGCGACACAGGGTCGCGGTGTGCGCGGACCTTCCCCTTGATTCGCTCCTGCGCCGTGGCAACCCAGAGCAGCGGAGAGGGATTCCTAAAGGTCAGCGAAGCAGACAAAATCTAGCCCGGTGCCAGGAATCAAGTCCGCACCAACCAAATACGTTCTGCAAACTTTTGCTTTTGCATTTTTCTTGTTTAGGGCCTTCTTGGTAAATACGGCTAATTTACCAAGAGATGTCAGAAAGCGACAGTTTATCTGAATGTTTGAAGTCAGTTGCTTGCAGGGTATATATAGAATGAAATGGCAAGGCTTTCTAGAAACAAATCTTGTATTTGATCATCAGAACAAGGATCAGAATGCCAGTTTTACCTTAGATTTCCCTAAGGAGGGCTGATGCTTTAGATACTGCCTCGGACAGAGGAGGCATCCCGAACTAATACTTAGAAGTGATTCAGTAGCTGCTGAAAGGGGAGGGGAAGGGAGGGACATGAGAGTTTTTTTTTTTTTTTTATTCCCTGCCTCTGCAATTCCCAACTGTTAATTGATCCAGATGCCTTAAGTCGCTTAGAGCATATACCCCCAGCACACATTTTGCAAAGTACTTCTGAAGAATTAATTCAATAGCGCCTGCTAATACTGTGGCTGAAGGAGATGAGCGGAAATATTTGTCTGTTCCTTGCAGGAGGAAAACAAACCAGACTTGCTTGGTCCTCTCATTGGCATCACTGATAGCATTTCAGAACCCGGGTTGTTGGCAGAGACCTTAAGCAGAGTTTTGAGCAAAACAGAAATTGAACAGAGAGTAATTGTTTAGCCACTGAGCATTCATGTGCCTGTTTCTATAACAAGATACTGCTGGCCAGATTCACCTTAATTACTGCTCATTAGCCCTCATGAGGGCGTACTGAGAGCTTTCTTATTTTTACCCTGTATTTTGGAGATACAGTATGGCATTTATTCAACAAGGCATGAAAGGGGGAGCTGGGTTCGCAACCTCGCTAAATGACTCTCTCTACTGGTCCTTTCTAAGGCCATCGTAGTACCTTAAAGAGATCTTAGACCTAACCAAAACGGTCAGGTTGTAAAGAATTATTTGTGGGCCCTTAGCACTCTGTCATGGTGTTCTCCTGTCTGTCTGTTGCCTTCAGAAGTTTCTTTGGTCCTTTGTAGATGGTCTGATGAATTAAGGAGGAGACGGTGGTCTGAAGTAGCATCCTTTTCAGGCAGGAGGTTTGCGTTTTGTCGAGGTTTCGTGGTAGCAGTCCCATTAGAGACATTCAGACAAGCTGGTCGTTGAGTGGGGGAGAGATTTAGACCTAAGCAGGCGTTGTTGGGCCCTGCAGATCTTATCTACTTGGTAGGCAGCTGTCTTGTGACTACCTAATGTTCTCGCTTGACAGAGTTCCAGAGCTTTCTTGCTGCCTCTCATTCTGCTTTCTAGGCCCATAGCTGAGATTCATTCCCTGCAAAGACTGGTATCTTTCAGTGACATTTGCTCAACTGTCTTCCCTGAAAAATTGGGATGAATTTGGCTCTGGGTTAGTTTTTAGTATATTTGTCTCTCTTTCCCATCAGGTAATAATCCGCTTTGGGGAGAGAATTTTTAATCCTTTCAGAGCACCTTGTGCTTGTTAAACCAGGTGAAAATACTTATTCTTCATTTGATTCAAAAAGAATGGTCCATTTGAAACCACCTTGATGCAGAAGCACATGGCGTTAAATAGCGTTGCTTTGGAATCAGTGTTTCTCTCCTTCCTTGTCATTTTCCTCATAAGTGCCAGGGGTACTTTTCCCTATCTTCGGAGACCTGAGGGCCATCGTGATTTGTGGGAGAAAACCAAACTCTTTAGGTTTCAGGCATCCTCAAAGGAATGACCTTTAGATGCTGTAACTGTAGTATTCACAGTTGCCATGCCAGCCCAAATTAGGACTTACGAGGACAACCATCTCTTGAATCGCTCCCATGTTAGTGCCCTTTGATCCCAAGTTTCATTCCTTTCTTGAAACAGCCACAGCAGCTTTATGTCCATGATGACACATAAGTAATAGCCAAGCCTCTCTTTGGCTGTTTCATCCTTGCTTCACAACAGGCATAGGAGAGAGAATGCTGAGGGAACTCAGCCACTCAGCCCCGCTGTGTGCTGTAGCACACGCACAGGCATAAACACATCTGTTGGAGGGACATTTTCGGGGGGGAAAGGCTTCTTGAACTTTCACATGACATGAGTGACTGATATGAGATACATGCGTGACTGTGTTTCATAGCATCTGCTTTTTTACACAATTAACTGAGTATTGAATTGCATACCATCGGGGCTACAGATGTTCAACAGAATTATCTGTTTCATAATAATAGCTCTAATAGGTCCCAAGCCCTTGTGGTCATTGATTCCTCTCCTTTGCTCAAAATAAGCAACCTAAGCATATTCCTGGGCTTTGTATTACCGATCTGGGTAGCAAGGGTCTTGTAACATTCTGAACCTCCTAGATGCTGGACCTCCCATATTCAGCCTCTTACCGCTTCAGCTCAGCAACCTTTTTCTTTTGAAGCCTGAATTACCAAACTATAGGTGGGTTGTTTTTTTTGTTT